GTATTAATGATTTGATTATTCTTAGTGTTGAAGAAAATATTTGTTACAGGATAATTGTAAAAAAATAATTGAAATCTCATGACGGGTTTTTCCTTGAAATGAGAATGGATGGGGAAAAACACTGATTGAGGTTTATATGAACATTAGTGGTTTGGAATACACAAATCCAGATAACAGTACAGCTAGAAAGCACAACATATTTGGAAAAATAACAAAAGATTTTCAAGAAAAAGACATGAATATCTTTATCCCTATTCTTTAATAAGAAAACTAAGTTCAATTGCATTTTAGCTTTGAAGCAAGTTTTTAAACTCTTGTTTGTACAGTATATTAAGTGTTTAAATCAAAAGTTCTGATTTAAAATGTTAAGAATTAGAGACTTATTAGGTAATATAAGAAAACATAAAAATTACTCTGTAAGGGATGCATTGGAGAAGCTCGTGCACCAAGTAATTCAATAGTGTAGTTGAGCTAAGTGTTTGCTGGGTGATTTCTAGCTTGTTATGTGGGTTTAGTAATTAGATATGGTTCAAAGAGCAGAAGACAATGAAATTAAATAAAAATGGATGTAAACTGTAATGAGCCTGATGATGTTTAGGATAAATAATTGTAATTTTCTGTTACAACCTGCAGTCATTTTAGATTTTTTTTTTATGGTGGTGGATACAAGGTCAGTCAAATGTACCAAACTCGTATATTGTTTGAGTAGAGAAAATAACACATAAAATATGAAATTTTTTGAAAAAAACACTTGATATTCATTTAGGAGGTTCCAGATGTTATACAAATGAAATTTGAAAACTGTAAGGTGAAAAAAAGGTATTCATTGACAGAATCTTTAGTAAAAATACTTTATGAAATAATCAGATTTTCCGATATGGTACTTTACCCCTCTATATGCAAACTTTTTCTTTATGCATGCAACAAGCCTTCTGGTCCCCTGCTCCATTGAAATTACTATATTCCAACATGCCTCTCGTATAAATCATCATGCATCATCTCTTAACCAACAGTAACATGATATGCTCACATGACACATGTGACTCCCTTTACACTCCTCTACAGAGCCTTCCCTTCTCGTTTGGCAGCATTTGAGTTAAGACGTACTGTTTTGTGTGCCTAGTGCTTCCAGTGTGACAGACAGACAAAATATTTTTTTTTTTTTCACGAGAAGTGGTTCCTTTTGACTCTATTTGATTTTATACTAGTTCCTTCTTGTCGTTCTATTTCTGCAATCGACTTTTATGAACCTTTTCTTGTGCTGTGAATTCTGAAGTTCACCTTAGCACTTTGGGGGGTCACACCAATGACCAGTGATTTTTCTCAGGACCAGGTGCAGGTGACCTGATGGTGGATCTTTCTGCTTTTATATGTCGGTAGATTGAGAGCTACATGGGTCAACCTTTGTCCCCTGACATTGTCCAGGCTTCTCCCGAGTTGGCTGATCTTGTTCAGAATGTCGAGGACTTTTATCATCTTTTCTTGCCTCCTGAGTTTGCTGTTCTTCCCATTTACAGCCTGAAGAATCATCAAGGTGTAATTTAGTTTTTATGGATTTTGTGTCTCAGGGTTGTGATGTTTTGTCACTTTCCCCTACCTCTTATTCCCCCTTGTTACATGAACAAGCTTCCCAACCATTTTTGGTTTTTTCTCCCTTCCCTAATATTCGGGTACATGAAAATCAATTTGTCTCGCAATTAAGTGAGGGGATCAGTGTGCCACACCCCTGAGGACTTCTTATCAGTTTGTCCTTTGTTACCATCATGCAGACTATATCCACCTTTAGATTAGCAGTTGTTAGGTTCATTATTACCTATTTGGAGTGTGGCTCCCAATTCTAATGTTAATCTTACCCTAATCCTACTCCCTTTGTGATTCTTCATCTTCTACCCTTACTAATTGGGTCCACCTTTTGATTTGTTTGGCTACTCTTCCTTACCTTCTTCCTCCTGTACCTTGTTCCAGGTTTCCTCCGATCAGATCCAACACCTCACTTTTTCCATTGCCTCTCATTCTCATCTGTCATTGGAGGAAATCCTACAGTTGGCCATGTGAACTACACCTAATACATTTGTCTCCCATTATTTACACCATATCGTGGTTTCTTCTTCATTTAATTTTCATCTTCCACCTATGGCCATTCTTCAAATTTCTGTGCAACTTTAACTGGTAAGTTTTATTCCTACTTTCTTTCTTTCAGGAGCCTCTTTTTATCACATAGGTCCTGCTGTGTGGCAAGTGGTGCCTGACCAAGTATTCTTTAACTCTAAGTCCGCACTGTACAGCCATGTTGACGTGCGCTTTATTTTCCATGACTTTGCATGCTTACCTTTTAGATGGGGTGTTCCACAAGATTGCTTGATTGTGAATAACCTCACAATATTTTGCTTCAAAAAAATGCCCATCCCAGACCGTACCACCCATGGACTGCACGGGTAAAGCAGAAGGGGATTGCTGCTCATCCCTGCCATGCCTCAAGTGAACAACTTGGAATGGTCTACTTTTCAAAATAAGGTTTCATAGTCACCCACTGTACTGTTTTCGGTGATGATGTTCCATTGCACTGTCCACCGCATTGTCACCCTCCTTTCCTCGAGTGAAGTATGGAAGCCCTTACCACTTTCCATTTCCAAGCCACTGGGCTGGTTGACCATGGAGGCACCTTCCTGAATGAGTTCCACAGAGAAAGGGCTAGAACCACTTAGTTGAGAGTAGGGCAGTGGTGTTTTGCTGGTGTAGGTGAGATGTGGCCTTCAGAGGAGTTGAGCCATCATCTTGTTGGTAGATGTGGCCTACTGATACAATTTACACAACCACTAGAGTTGAGCTGTCACCTTACTGCATGACATGGCCTCCAAAGGAGTTGAGCCGTCACCATACTGGATGATGTGGCCTCCTGATACCATTTACTCACACACATGGGAGATGAGCTGTCTCCTTATTGGATGACGTGGCCTCCTGATACAATTTACATAAACACTGAAGTGGTGCTGTTGAAATTGCAGTAAACCCCTTCAACTGGGAAACCTCATCCTACCCTGAGAGGTTTTGGAATAGTGTGAACCAATCAACATAAGTCCTCACATGAGTTGATTCCATGGGAGGTCCATCCTTTCAATACCAGATGTTGATTCCCAGATTGATAGATTAGCGAGGATCCTCGTGTCATACCCAGAAATTGGTGCAGGTCATAATCCCTGATTCTTTGGTTTGAGGTGAAGATGGTATGATCCCCATCCTACCCTCGTGTAGATGTTGGTACACTGCAAGGAGGTGTTGAATGTAGTTGAGTTACCAAGTATGATCCACCACACTCTAGCCACTCTACACCTATCCATTTCTGCCCTTATTTCTTACACATTCCACACATGGGGGATGAGTATATCTAGTTCAGATGTGGTGTAGTTCCACCTCTTCTGATCTTTGGATCTATCTTTCATTGTCTGGGGTATCCTTCACACATTTTTAAGGGTACTTTTTTGTTTTCTCGCATCCGTCTCTCCTCCTTCTCGATGTTGGATTCTAACTAATCTTGTGAGAGGAGGTAAGTACTATAGCGGAAGTTATAATTTTCCTATACTGAAAATGTATTTCTGATAGGTACTTACCTCCTCTCACACTTCCCACCATTCCTCCCCACTTCTCCTGTGTTCACGCCTGCCAAACTTTGAAGTGAAGGTTCAGTACAGGAGAGCCCCCCCTTGTGGCACAGCGGTATGTCTGCGGACTTACAATGCTAGAATCTAGGTTTTGATACCTGTGGTGGGCAACGCACAGATAGCCCATTGTGTAGCTTTGTGCTTAATTACAAACAAACAGCACAAGAGTGTAGAGGGAGTCACATGCGTTACGTGAGCATATCATGCTACTACTGTCAGAAATACATTTTCAGTTTAGAAAAATTACAACTTTTGGCCACAAAAGACTCATAATGTATACTAAAAGTTTGCAAAATTTCATGAAGATACATTTAATACATACAAAATTATAGTATGTAGTATGGTTGGTTAGAATGACCAATTGTATGTAGAGAGGGTTAACAGACAATGAGATCATCTTTTTCATTGTTAGAACAGAATATGGAATTAGTTTCCTAAGCTATTTTATGAATTTGACATCTGTTATTGATAACAATAATTCCTTATGTTATGCTACAAATAGCAAATGATAATTAAAATTCATAACAGATAGCATGTAATTATAACATTTCATAGATCATAAAATATAGAAAATTTGGTTATAAATATTCAGTAAGAGCAGCGGGGAACTAATGATAATGAAACAATTACTTCTTATGTAGGTGCATTCTAGAACTTTTAAGTTTTTGTGATTTTTTTTTTTTTTAGGAAAGTTGATTCTGTATATTTAAATTGTAGAGCACAACAGGTTGTGATCAGAATTGAAAAAACATTAATAAAACTTGGTAAGTTTTGATAAAGTAGATCTAACTAACAGAAAAGGAATGTTATCTTCTTGATTTTATTCCTAAAACCCATTCTTGAATGGATAAGTAGGGTAATTAGAATACACTACAAAAAAGGGTAAATGTCAAGCAAACAAGAATGAAATCTTACTTATAAGTAGGAACCTGGAGGGTGCATGATTTATTAAAATAGCAAAATAAGTTAAAAATATTGTGAATGCTTATGTGAGAACCTGTTATGCAAAACAAATTTAATGAGATTTTGTGTGGACTGTTGAGATCATGTTAAGAAGTAAAGTATGAATCAGAATTTAGTTTGCTTTATGTCTAGCTGATTTGTAGGCAGATAGTTTATCATAATGTTGCTCATTTCATTGTCTGTATTAAGCCACTCATGTTTATTCTAATTTTAGGGAAAATTCTATAGAAACACTAAAAGTATGAAGCTAGTATATAATAGTTTCTTTTTGTCTCATGGGTAAGCTTAAAATGATTGACTCATCTTAGGTATAAGGGAATTTTGTACAAAAAAATTAAAAGGATGAATATATTATTTGTGCCTATTTTTGTCTCGCAGGTAACCTATACAATGATTGACTCACCTTTTTCTTTTGATCTGGTTATCAATTTAAAATTCTGAATGCTCAGGAAGAAAAAGAATCGGGGAGCCAGATCTTGGGCTAATGGCAGCAGAGTCAGGAGGAACATGTCAACCAGTACAATTAGAACCATTTATACATCAGGTTGGCTTTTATCAGTCAAAAAAATAAATAAATAAAAACTAAGAAGAAGAGTAAATATTTTGTGAAAGAGAAAATATGTGGACAGTGTTTTAATCAGCCAATCTTTTGTTTAATTTAATGTTAGAGGTAAAAATATATCTGTGTGCCTTTTTGTTGTTAGTAGTTAGTGTGAGTGAGACTTTTTTACTATTTTCAAAATGTTTATTCTGTTCTAAATTACTTTTATTATATATGGAAGAAATGGCATAACCAGAAGAGTTATTAGAAATGCCTTATATATATATATATATATATATATGTAGGTAATTTTGTGGTTTTTATTACCATCTAAATGTGTACAGTGGTATAGCCATTACAGTCTGAATGTTAAGCAGTGTTATATCAGTCTACACATTTAATTTTAGTCATAGTGTTAGTCAAGTTAATGTCAGCCTTTTGGAATTTATTTTAGTCAGTCTGAATCTAGTTGACTAAAATGGCTAGACTTTCTCTAATCTCAGTCTGTGGATGATGTCTTCATCACAGTGTTAGTCTAGTCAGTTAAAATGGTCTAACATTTTAGGCCTGTCTTAATTTTCTGTATGTCATTTTTAGGCAGAGCCTTAACAGTGGTGTTGTTCCATACAAATAGTCATGTAATTAACCAAGTCATAAAACTTAGAAAAATTAACTGCAGTAAAACATTTCTCATCCTTTTGCAGGTTGCTCAGTAGTTATTAAGAGTTTGCTGTATATAGAATATTATGTCTTGCACAGTTATTGTGATCTGTCAAATTGTGATAATACAACTTAACCAGGAATAAAGTAATATGGTAATAATAAAGTAAAAATAATATATTTATGATTAAAGAATTAGAGTGTATGTTAATTTATAACAATGTAGCAGGATTGTAAGGTGTTTTAATATAAACCAAAACATTTTCACCTATAGCCTCAGGTCATTTAGATAGCTAAGTTGGGAAAAAAGTATATATGAATAATAATTATAAAAAAACATTAGCCAGTTTTATAGAGAATTCTAATTTGGCTTACCTACAGATTCAGAGAACCACGAATCTTAAATATTAAACATCAGAACCTGAACAAAACAAGTGTTAGGCAGTAGTTAAAAAGTGTATTAAAGCTAATTAAGGTTAGGAAATTGAATTCCAAAAAAATACTTACCTACTCTCACACTTACAACTATTACTTGACTCCTAAGATTTCCTTCCTTTGACCATCTAAGTATTGGTTTGATTTTTTTTCTCCAGTTTTATTATTACCCACTTAATTGCTCTTGGCAATATTTGTCTCATGACACTCTCCACCTATGTCAATGAGCCTTTATCATGGTATTGTATAGAAGCACCTCACTCAAATAATACTATCATTTTTTTTCGGCAAAGTGTTCACTAATGGGTTTATATGTACTATGACCATATTGTTTCTGGCACGTAGGCAAATATGGTTTCTCCTATCCCACCTCTGATATCTAGCATTGCTCAACAGTTGGTGGGGAGTCACTCTCAGTTGAGAGAAGTCCGTGACCTTACTTGTAGTGAGATGGAGACATATACTCGATCCAGTGGTGTTTCTTCAGGGGCTCTGAGGCTGCACGTGCGGGTGATCCTGGACATTCTGGTGAGAATTTTGACTTTCTTTTTCAAGTACCTTCCTTTATTCTGTCGGCTTCTCAGGAGGCCAAATTGGGATCAGCAACCTCCGGCTCCTATTCTTCAGTTGGTAAGTCGACTGTGTGATGTTTTTAGGTCTTTCCCTGGGTATTTTTGGTATGAGCTTTTCTTGATGGTGGAAAGGTCTGAGGGTGAATACTTAGTTCTCCCTCCATCCCTTGTAATTCATGCAGGGAAGTTTACTATTCAGTTATGTGAAGGGACAGCTATGCCTTGTCCACCACATTTCTTGGATCAACATACTTTAGCTTACCACTGCCAGGTGGATGTGTGTTTAGACTCTCAAGAGATAAACCTGCTCCTGGAAATTTGGGGTTCTAGAACAGAGTCTGTGTTCAACCTGATAGATCACACTTTTCTAGGATTCATCTGACCCTAACTACATTGCTAAAATATTTTCATCCTTCCAACTTTTGTTGGAAGCCTCTCAACAATTGCCCCATCCATTTGATAATGAGTTGGAATCATTGCTAGTATCTACCCCGGCTGGTATGTTGTGAAGTAGAGATGTTATTGGAGGGCATTTGTACTGGCTGCTGCCTTCCATGAGTTTAGTGAAGCCCTCTATCTCTAACCTTTGATTTTTGTGGGCATTCCAAAGTCCTTGGAATCAAAGGTTGATGTCGCCCATCTGTATTCATTCTTGTTATTCATTGTTTCTCGACTTTTCTCAGCTCTTACAGGGAATCATAGTTCTGGCCCTATTCGAGTGTACAGATTCCTGACATAATTCCTTTGGTACCAAGTATATATTTTGTCCATATCCACAAGGTTTCTCCACTCAGTCAGATTTCCGTAAGTAGTAAAAGTGCTACCATATGCCTTTGGGGTCTGTGGGGGCTCAGACCATCATTATCCACCCAACTTGTAGCATTTTCACCTCCTGCAGATCCTTGGATTATGTAACTTTGTAGCAGGGCTATCGGAGATTTGTTGATCAAGGGGGGCAATGGAGAGAGTTGTCCCAGTTTTTCTATGGTTTTACTCCCATCTTTTTGTTGTGCCCAAGAAGGCAGGAGATTGATGTTTGGTCATCAATCTCTTTTGTCTACATCAATTCCTAGATCTTTTAAGGTTCATGATGGAGTCATTCCTCACTTTTCATTGCCATTTTTTACCAGGACTGTGGATGAGCAAGTTTGATGTCGCCGATGCCTATCTGCACATTCCCATTGGAAGTCGTCCAGCCATTATCTGCATTTTGTGCAAATGGGTCAGGTGCTGAAGTTCATGGTTCTGCCCTTCCGACTAGTATCAGCACCATACAATTTCTGCCAATTTGTACAAGCTTTTTCTTATCACCTCCATTCTCTAGGCCTGTGCACACACCATTCCATGGAGGACTGGTTACTTCTGACACCATTTTGTCAGTTGGCAGAATGTCACACACAGATTATACTTTCAGATGCAGCTAAGGCAGGGTTTATTATCAGACCCCAGAAGGGGTCAAAGGATGTTCTAAGGTAATTGAACCCATCTGTATGGACTTTGATGAAAAGAAGACAATTATTTGAAGTTCGGAATACAACTATGGTAACCCACGAGATGGTGTAAGTGAATTATTCACTGATACTATTGTAATAAGAGTAGAGAAATATTGTTCATCTTGTCAATTGGATTCTAAAGTAATTGAATCAGCCTAAGTGGACTTTTGAAAAGAAAAGAGAATTATTTAGTTTGAGATACAACTGTGATAAGATGTTTAAAGAAATTTTGTACATAGTTTCGACTTGTTTTTGATATATTATTTTAAAACAAGTGATGTCCATTTATTGTCAAATTTATTACCAACAAGTCACAGAAACTTACTCTGGAAGAATCCAAGACCATATACATACAACCCAGAGATTTTCCAATACTTTTATCTCACATTATTTGCAGGATCTGGCAGTATCTTCCTCTGAGGAATTTGAACTATCCCATGTAGTATTCTTAACCACACCCATTAGATTATAAGGAGCTGTTAGTATCTTCATTACCAATATTTTTTCTTCTTTTCTTGCCTGGGGCCCTTACCTCTTTTTACAGAATCCTACTCTGTGGCGAGTGTTGCCCTGGCAAATATGCTTTTGTCAAACCAATCCCTCACTAGCAACCATTAGCACAATATATTTCATATAGGTTGCAACAGGCTCTGTAGAAATGAGGTGTTCCGTAAGAGCACCTAGAGGCAGAGGTAGTATTAATGTACTATACTGGACTATCACTCATGGTCTGTCATGAGTAAAGCATAAGGAGATCCTGTTCGTACCTGCCTATCATTGGATTGAATAAATTGGGGTCAGTTTGCTTTTAAAAATAGGAAACACTTGGTTCACCTGTTGCACTATTTCCAGAGCATTGTTCCTCAGGACTCCACAGCACACATCCCCCCCCCCCCAATCTGATTCTACTAGTGGAGCTAGGGAGTCCTTACCATCACACCAGTCACTAGGGTGGTGGACAAAAGTTATTCCTCCAGAGTGTTTGAGTGAAATTCCTCCACTCTAGAGGAAGATGGTGAGGTTGAGGGCCCTCCTACTCAGGACCCTGGATGTTTTTTTCTTAGATGTCGGTAGGAGAGGCACCAACCTATGTGGGAGCTTACTCGTAATACCAGTTCAGATTTGATGCTTGGCTATCTGGTTGGGTTGAGTGTGGCCCTTCTTTTTGACCAATATTGGTTCAGGACATTGTTCGTGAAAGAGGGTCCACTGTCTCCTCATAATTCTGAATGCAGAGTGATCACATCATGGGTCCTTGGTTGAGTACAGTTTGTTCCATGTCCTCCACATAATTCCGGGGGCGAGTGGAATTTACCTTGCCTACACAGTTGGAGAGTGAGAATGAGTGTTCATAATTCCAGACCAGATGAGTTTTGTTTTCTCGGGTTGAATATGGCATACAGGATTCCATCATTCCGAGGTTGGGGAGAAGGTTTGTCCGCTTCATTGTTGTTTACATTCTCACTGGGATTCCGGTGGCTCAGAATGCATCACTTTATAGCTACAAGTTGGGATCCACCCACAAGTATATATATTGCAGTCCACATGTCCTAGCCACAATCATGGTATTTAGGAATCATTACCCAATAATTCCAACCCTTGTACAGTGGAATCTAGGCTATCTGGTTGGAGTGTGGAGAATGGTGATGATGAATCATATCAAATTCCACCTACAATGCATGAATTAGGTTCAGGGTGCAGAGCATACCCGTTCTGGATGTAGTGCAGTTCCCCTACTAGGATACTAATATTTTATTGACAGATGCATTCTGTATGGATAATGCCCTCATCAGCCTCTCCACCTTAATAATGTAAGATTCTAACTGTGGTGTGAGAGGAGGTAAGTATGTTTTGGAAGTTAACATTTTCTTAAATCAAAAATGTATTTCCAATAATACCTCCTCTCACACTCTCCTGCCTTTCCTCCCCACTAAGAGCTGGTGTTAGAGACTGTGGATCTGGTCAGTCTTGAAAAAGTAATAATAATATCTGAATGAGGTGCTATAAATGGTACCAGGATAAAGGACACATTGATGTAGGTTGAGAGTGGCATGGAACAAATATTGCCAAGGGCAATTAAGTGGGAATAAAACTGTAGCAAATGAGAAAAAATCAGACTAATGCTTAGATGGGCAAAGGAAGGAAATCCCAACAGTCGAGTAATAGCTGTTGTCAGAGAGGAGGTAAATATTATTGGAAATACATTTTTGGTATACGAAAATGTTAACTTCTATATACAGTGAGTATTTTTGTTTCATACAAGTATAACAAAGTTTTAACATTTTTTTTCATAGAGATTTACATGAACATGCTAGAAATTTTAGCATTGTGATTATTATTTACTGACAAAAAATTATTATTTTTGTTTGAAAAATAAATGATTTCAATTATGTACCTTTTCATGTATCAATCCATATAAATAAAAAAATTTAACTTACAAATAATTTTATTTTTCATTAAGACAGTATTCTGTTAATTTCCCAACATGCTTTAGTAATTTCTTTTCATATCTTCAGCATGGTAGTTGTTTGTTATGCTAGGCATGTTTGTTCTTCACATTAGTCATACCTAGTGATTTTCATCTTTTCTTGTTTCTCTTTGGCTAAATTTAAAATCAGCTAATCAAAAAATATCAGTATTCTCATTGGTGACTTTTATGTTAAGTATGATTATTACTATTATAATAGTATTGGCTAATATTACCCAGGGTGTTTTAAAAATTTAGTCATACAATATGTGGGGGGATTATAACATGGTATATTAAAATGTATAAAGTATGTGATTAATTTTGACAGGAAAATCTTTTAAAAAAACAGCAATTAGAAATTAGAGTGGGATTGTGTAATTAATTTTGTCTACTTTGTGGTTTACATCCTTTTATAGAAAATAGAGTTTGGTTATTACTGAGTTATGTCATCCACAGAATTTATTCAGGATGGGGGGCAAGTCAATGTCCTGCAAACATGGGAAATGTCATCGTTTGAGGGAGGCTTCTCCAGGAAATTTTGAAAATTAGATGTCTGTAAATGCTAATCTGTGGTATTGTGAATCTTATTAGAATGTAGAAATGAACCAGGTGATGATGGAAACAATAGTGATGTTCATCAACAAACTTGTAAGTGAGAAAAGAAGATTGCAGTTTTTATTTGATAAGTGAAATGGTAACCATTGCAGAGCACAGACTATTGCTTTGGAGTTTGAATATGATGCTCTGACTGATATAGCTTAATTATGTTCACCTAATTCCATCATTTATTTTTATTTAAATAGTAATATTTTCTAAAACATTTCTTCTTAAACTCTGGGGGAGGGGGACTGTGAGACTGTTTTTAGACAAAGTTATCTTGGTGGACCAGAAATCTTCAAGCATCTGGAAATTCTTATAGTATTTTTATATGTTTATACATGGTAAATATGCATACTACATACATACTATGTTTCACATTATCAGGGTCAAAACTTACCACCTTTCTAACTTTGTATATTTTAGGTAGGTGGCAGCTCATCAATGCTTCGGCTTGATGATTATACCTTATGTAAGCCACTAATTCCAAGGGAGTTGGACTTTTATGAGAGTTTGCCTGACAAGTTAAAAAAATTCACCCCAGAATATAAAGGTAAGGACATGTATTTGTTTTGTTTTTTTGCATAATGTTGTATAGTTATATACATGTATTTTTTTTTTTTTTTGCATAATGTTGTGTAGTTACAATGTGTTATTATATTGTGTAACAGTAAAAGATTTGGAAAAACACTAATTGAGAGTAAATAACATCCATACCTCTGTTATGTTTGTGTAGGATATATACAAAGCAGTTTATTTTTACTCACACATTTGACCTCTTAAATTTCAAGTCTGATACTTCATTGAGAAGTAGGGGAGACCGGGGTTAGTTGTTACGATTTTTAGAAAAAGTCGAA